TCACTTTTAGCTTCTAAGCTCTTCATTATATGATATTATGAGTGGGGAGGATAGGATAGGGGAATCTAAAATTTTGAGTTTGGTGCTGATAAAATCAACACAGGATTGGTGAGAGGAGCTATATTCAAAGTCACCCACACAGAGGAGTAGCTTCTCATCCAGAGCCAGGCTTGAATGTACCAGATCATTGCACTAATGACACCTAAGTTACTAGAACTAACGTTTTGGCCATTTCTGTTTTCGTTTAAGAGGTCAGACTGCTTTATGCCTTCTTAAAAAAATTTTCATTTATATGAAGTCAGTAATGATAGTACTTTAATTGGAAACCTAGCCTTGAAATGGTGAACACCTGGGAGCATTGTTAATCAAGCTTACTACTGAATTAAATCTACAGAATTCTCATGGATGTATTAAGAAGATTGATGAAAACAAACATTTCCTTTCCCCTCTAGCACGAACGTACAGAGGAAGGAGGTCAGTTGAAGCAACTGGGACCAAGTCTGCTGAGAGGGACCGTCCCTGTCTAAGGAGAGAGATACTGAGGCTGGGCCATGCGTGTGGGTGCGCTCGGGCAGCTTGAATGGGAACACTCAGATTATCCACACTTGGCCTTGCTCTGCCTTCAGACTCATTTAGTAACCTTTGGGTAATGAATTGGCATTTCTGCTCCATCAATATCTGAAATGAAGGGGGCCCTGGATAGAAAATTTCGTTCATTTTCTTGCTCGCCTGATCGATTCATTCTTTCATTCAAGAGATATTTATTGAGTATTCACTCCTTGCCAGGTACCCTGAGGACAAAAATAGACCCAAATCTCTGCCCCCCAGAAAGCATATATCCTAAATAGGTGCTTAGAGAAGACATTTGAAACTAGATCCATTCTGTGTCAGGTGGCGATAAGGGGAAAAAAAAATAAAATAAAATTAAGCAGGGAAGTACTGAGAGAGTGCTCTTGGTAAGACTGCTGATTTAAACATGGAGCCAGGAGGGTCTCAGGGACAAGCTGAAGGAAAGAGGGGAAGGACAGAGGTATTGACTATCTGAAGGAAGAGTCAGTGCTAAGGCCCGGAAGCAGATTCAGCGCCTGCTGTGTCTGTGGAAGGACAGGGCAGCCGGAGCTGAGTGAGCCAAGAGCAAGAGCAGGCGATGGGGGGACCTGAGGGACCAGTTGTAACTTGAGCCTTTTCATTGCTGGAAAAGGATATTTCTCCTCCTGGGGGATGTGATGAATTAAGAACTTGGTGTCTGGTTTATACCGTGGCCTTCTTTGAGCTTGGTTAGCTTGAGTTCACCTCTTAGGAAACAGAACCACACTTAGATTCTTTCTCGTACATTTTTGCCCCTGAGAAGTGGAGGACTCGGGGACTCCTTCATGAAGGTGCCTGCTGGGTGGCCAGCAAAGACCCCTAACCTTATTTTCACCCCATACATTGCCAACCAAATGTTTGAAAAGTGAGCGCTGCGCAACAGAATAGAAGAAATCATAATTATTCATGGAGTTTTCATGAACATATTGAGATACGAGGATGTACAGTTAGAGTAGGAGATACCATGGACACAGAGTTGTGAACAGTGAAGTTCATTTTAGTATACTCAGGGACTTTGGAGTGACACAGGCCTGGACTTGGACTATGGAAATGAAATCTCATTCACTGTGGAAAGTTCAGAAAGTTCATTAAGTTATCCGGGAGTTTAGTTTTTCCACCAAGAAGAGGATAGCTGAAGAATGAAATAAAGCAAAAAGAATGGTTTTAGAGATGACACAGACCCGTGTGCCTGGTGACATGTTTTCCTTCTCCTCCCCCACCTCTTGATTTCTTCTTTGCATTGCCATATTCAGAACTGCTGCCCACAATGAATCATTATGCAATCTTAATTAATCATCCATTTTGGCACCGTAGGTCTCCAACAAGGCTCTTAAACAGGGAAGCCCAGATTTGCACAGAGACCAATCTACACTAATCAGCGGGCCATTTGTGCTGCCTTATATCCTCCCGACTCTCCCAACCTCCTACCTTGCTGGGAGGTGAGATCAAACCCAAATGCAAAGGCACTCAACCCAGTGCTTAACTGTTGCTCAATCTTAGTGAATATTAATTTGTACGATTTTTTTTCCCTTGTAGTTTTTGGAAAAATTTTATGTTAATGTGTGAATTACTCATGCTATAAAAAAATAAGACAAAAACTGAGAGAGCCCCAATGGTTTGTTTAACTGATAATAATGATATAATTAAGAAGGTATTTTTATCCTTGGGTCTGAAATATTGGGCACCTACTGAATGTGCATTGGGTACTGTGTGGACTAGTATTATATGTCAGCTTGATTAGAGTTCTCAGTTACACATAAACCCCAATTTATGTGTGCTGCTGAAGACATTTTGGAGATGTGCAGAATATTTGCAGTCACTTGGTTCTAAGTAAAGGAGATTGTCTTCAACAATGTGCACGGGCTAATCCCATCAGCCACAGAGTTTTAAGAGCAACACTGCTTTCCCTAGGAAGGAAGAATTCCTCCTCAAGATTGCAATATGGGCTCCTGCCTGAGCTTCTGGATCAAGAGCCTGGCCTTCAACTTTTGCAGCTGTTAGCCCCCACAACTGTATCAGCCAATTCCTTGAAATAAATCTATATGTATATACATGCATATGTAAATTATTTTTCTTGTTTCCATTTATCTGGAGAACCCTGGCTGATACAGGTGTGTTTGAAGCCCTATTTCTTCTTTCTTTCTTTCTTTAGTTGGTCAATACTTCTTTATGCCTTATTGGCACGAAATGATTTTACTAAAATAAAGCCTGAGTAGCTCTAAAGTGCATAGTCCATTGCTTTCAGCTTCCTGAAAATTTCTATTTGGTCCATCTGGGCAACCTGACCCTGGGATGAGAGATCACCCCTCTACTGACAATGGCTGGCATGGCCTGAGGTTCATGGGGCACATCGCTTGGGTTCTAGGTGAACCTAGAATGAACATTAAATGTCAAGTGGACAATTTGTCTCTAAAAACACATTCATCAAGAGATGGTGGAGTTGAGACTGGTTGATTTGCTGTTCTCTATGTAGACACTCAGAGGATAAGTAGGACACAAAAACTCTGCTGTCTAAGTGAAAATACATTTGCGTGGTGATGGCAGCAACCGCAATTTCTAGAATGAATGCCTGGGAAGACAAATTGCCACACGAAGAGGTATTACAGGGAGTATAAATCTGCTTTCATTTCTGCTAGTCTGTCCATAATTGTATGGAAATAAACCCCTGTTGAAAAGTGAGACTCAAAACTATGATATCATCTGAATTTAGTGTCACTGCTCTGAGCTAAAGATTTGGGTAGGTTCCAACTTTCATTTTCTGTCTCCAAATTAATTTTTTTCTGCTTTATTCCTTTTCTTCATTCTAAAGCTTTCCTTGAGGCAGTTTCAGAGTTTGGAAAAAAAAAACTTTTAGCACATTTCCAATGCACCATTTTCTTATTGTATATCTCATTATGTGTACTCTTCTATGTGTAAGAATAGCTTCCTACAAATTTGGCTATCAGATACTTATAAGAAATGGCAGGGGCAAATCCCACTTCTAGAAAATAAATCAACTCAAGACCATAAGCCAGCAATAACCTGCTAAGAACTAGCTTTCCTTGGGGAGACCAGAAAGGCTTCTGGTAGGTAATGAGACCAGAACTTGCAAGAGCTAGTTTTGATGGCCAAGCCGTACTGCTTCTTAGATGGTGGTAACTCACCCTGGCCACAAAAGCTTCAGACTGAGCGAGATGAGATATCTGGCCCGGGACAACAGAGCTGTCACCTCAAAAGCCCTCTCCCTCCACATCACCAATTTGTAATTCCTGAAACATTCTCTTTTGGCAGAGTTACTTTCTGATTCTCACATTGTTTTACTTTTGCTTATCCCTTCAAATGGCTTCTCTTCCCTTCTGTCTTAATTTTTTTTTCTATTTTCTGCAGTTATTCCTTCTAACTTGCTTTTCTTTCAAATGTGAATTTCCTATATATATATTTTTGCCTTATTTCCCCTTTCCATTTTAACCTCTTGTTCTTCACTGGTTCTTTGTATTTCTTTTTTCCTGTTCTTAATTCTTCCTCTCCCACTGATTCCTTGTGGCTTTAATCATTGCTTAGGGGCTTAAAATCACCTAGTGACTGACATTTTTCTCACTGAAAGGAGAAGGACTTATGACCTTGGAAAACGAGCTACAAAGACTCAACACATTCAATTCACAGTGTAATTCTTTCCTTTCTTCCCTGTGCTTTTGCCTGGGATTAGAGATGGACGGCTTACTGCAGCTCACAATGGCAAAGCACTTCAGGGCTGACTTCTCAGCCTTGAAACCACATGACAAGGTGTATCTGAGCTCCTATGTTTACACTGATTGCTAGAATTTTAAAATTGCCCTTTACCAGAAAAAGCTTACTCAAGTGAGCCTGGAGGAAAAATGCCATTTTGCACTATGATGAACCAACCCAGTCTCCTCGGTCCTTCAGGGGCCTTCATTCTCCACCCCACCCTCACTCCTATCCCTTCATTTTTTTTTTACAGCGTGAAACAAAAGTTCACAAATGGGCTCCTCAGAGAGGGTGCAGGAAGAGCTCCAGGTCACCTGGGCCACAGGCTGCTGAGACTGCTCCTTACAATGCCATCCACCAAGCAGGTCCCCTTGGGTGACTTGATCAGAAGTAAGATCTTTACAAAGAACAGTGCAATAGATTCTTTAGGACCATACATACGACGTCATCATCTGGCATTAGAAAATATCAGATTGCCACCAAAACATCAAATACATGTGACACAGAGACTTCACGTTAGCTCCATGTAACACTTAGGTATGAACTATACTTTTAAAAAAATCATTCTTTTTTATAAGTTGGGCTGTGGATTTGCTTTACCTTTCGGTGTTTCTGGAGGAGCAGGAGCGCATACCTGGATGACAAGCACTCAGAGTCATCCCCCGCCATGAGGCAGGATCTGCTAGGTCCCCACTACTAAAGGATACTTGTGGTCGAAGCCATACCACATCCTGAAGAGCCGAGCGCTCTCCGTCTTTGTCACACTTTTATCCAAGTTATTTGCTCCCTGGAGAGAGAGAGAGAGAGACCATAGAAAACGGCATTGGATAGTCAAATACATTTTAATATAAAAATACATGTCCAACTAAATTAAATTTAACCATATTAAAAAAAAACCTTTGTAAGTATAAGCATTTTTACTTAAATGGTGGAGACTCTGCCAAGCAAATTAGCTCATAGATCTTGCTGTGTGGATGAGACTTCTGGGATAATTCAACATTTACTTCTCTTAATAATCCTAATTTTATTAAAGAGCTAAGAAATGCCATTTTTTTTACTTCAATAAAAATGACATTTCTGTCAGATGGCCATTATGGGAATTCTGCTGTTTACTTTTATCAAATTTGGAACGAGTGGCATTTATTTATGGATTACTGAAAGGTCAAGGCTAAAGAAATGATAACAGTCTAATAATTGTTCCACAAGTTTCCACTCATTTTCCTTTTGACAGATCACTACCAAGGGCTGATATTTGATATCTTGCTGTTTAGGTGATGAAGAGTTTTCAAAGATATAGTCCTGATGGGGGGGGGGGCTGTGAGAACTGAATGTGTGTGTCCCTTCTCCCTTCCACAAGGGCTTTAAAGAAGGGAAGAGGAAAAGGGAATTAACGATAAAAGAGAAAGAGAAAATGTGTGATGGTGTTCACATAAGCGTAGAAGACGAAAATGTGAGAAAGTGGAAAGAAGGTGAAAAAATTCTGTGAACTTTAGAGAGAGAGATGATAAAAAATTGCAGTCTGGGGAGAATGTTCAGTAGCATATTCAGAAAAGGGAATTCCCACAGATTCCAATTATAATGATCTCTGCTGTTAAAAGTCTTTGTATCTTCATGTGAATTTTTGCTTTTTCTAGACCCCCAATTTTTATCCCCAAATCATACCATGAGTTAGCCCCGTTCCCAGGTGGCCATTCTTCTGAGGACTTGATACATGGAAGACAATGGAAACCCATTGGTTGCACCAACGGCAGCCCTTCCACAAGCCAGGCTGATTTGCTTTCATTTTATTTTACTTTATTTTATTTATTTTGGCTTTTTCCCAGCCAGTTCCAATATCAGTTGATGATAAATAGCTGAACATAAAAGGCTGTATTCTGTCCTCTGAAACATGTGTACCAGCAGATGCTGTGGTCCATCTCTCACAAATGAAATGGGAATATGAGAAAGTAAAGCGGGGTCTATTTTTAGCCGGCCATTTATCCTTTGTGTAAAATGGTTGCAGCAGAGACTCACAGAGAAATTAAAATTCCAACTTTTCATTGCCCTTCTCATGGGTGAAGACCTCTGGTTCTTCAAATTTTGTTGTTTCCCAAATGGTGTTCCCTAGTATGCCACTCACTCTTCACGATACCGATGGAAACGCTGTGCCAATCACTCAGGGAAGGAGGGGTTGGAGAGTGTTAAACAGCATTTTTAGACCCAGAACTTCTCAGAGTCTTTAATTGTTAAATGAGTATCATAAATTTTCAAGAGGGAAGTTTTTCTCAAACTTACTTAGACATGAAATCAATTCCATGTTTCCATTTCTCACTGTGGGACACCAATTATTAGTCTCATTATTTTTTTTTAATTTTGATAGAGCTAAAATGTCATGCCTTCCTATCTAAAGTTGGAATGCATTCATATTCCCCCCCAAAAGGAAACCCCTGTGTCTGGATATCCCTTCCTCTTTCCCTGCACCTATCTCTATTTCTTTCCCACCAAAGGTGTCAAATTTGCAAAATGACTGCTGCACATAGATTTTCTTCATCATCTTGCAACATCTGTAACTTATTTCTGGGCCACCATCCCCCAACTGCATGTTGAATTTCAGCCACTGGCAGAACAAATCTGCTCACAGTGAACCAAATTAGTTAGAAAAGCTCTGGGATGACAGTGGGAACTATTTCCCACCTCCCCCCCACCCCCCACCTATTTTTTCTTTTGTTTAAGACAAATAAGGACTTATAGAGTGTTGTTTATCAACCGGCAAGGGTGATTTTGGACAGCTGATAATGTCTACTGACGACAAGATTCAAGATTTGAATAAAACTGATAAAAAAGAGTGCAGCAAATTTCCTTTTCGTTTGTTTTTCTGTAAGGGGGGTGCTGAGCAGTGAAGTCTCCTGGCAGTCAGGAGCCCCGAATTCTAGCACCGCCCCCTGCAGTTGCTCAGCTCAGTGACATGGACAATAATGCAGTCTCCAGCTATGGAGCGCTCATCAACACTAGGCAGTGAGCTAGTGACATTATCCAGCCACTAATTTTTTCATTCATTACTTTTCAGTTCTCACCACAACCTGTCAAGGTGGGGTGTGTTAGCACTATTTGCACAGGAAGAGCCTGAGAAGTCAGCTCCAAGTCATAACGGGATAAAGATAACAGAGCTGGAATTGCAGTCTAAAACCGCTGGCGTCCAAAGACGATGTCTTTTCTGCAGCATCTCACTCAGGCTTTAAATGTCGGAAAGCACAGGCATTTTTAATCAGCTGACTAAACTCACAGGGCTGCAGTTTCCTTGTCCGTAAAATGAATTGAGAAAATTGGGTTGGTCTCTAACTTCCTAAAATCATATAGAAATACTATAAATATTTATATATATATATATATATATACACACAGTATATAAATATATCTATCTATATATCTATATATATATCTATATATGTGTGTGTGTGTGCGTGTGTGTGTGTGTGTACTATATATAAAATATTATGTATGTGTGTATGTTTGTGTGTGTATATATATTCTATATTCATTTATTTATATATTTTTTTCTGGTACTGTGGATTGAACCCAGGGGTACTCTACCACCGAGCCATATACCAAGTTCCTTTTATTTTTTTAAATTTTGAGACAAGGTCTTGCTAAGTTGATCAGGCTGGCCTAGAATTTGTAATCCTCCTGCCTTGGCCCCCTGAGTCTCTGGGATAACTGGTGTGGTGTGTACCACCGTGCTGGACGAGGTAACACTTCCTGAATACTTACCATTGGCCAGGTGGTATTCTTAGTGCTTTGGGTATGTTAACTCTTCAGATTCTTACGACAATATGGTAAAAGATGTTCTGTTATTATTCCTGTTTTACAGATGACCAAACCGAGGCAACTGGAGAGTGCAAAGCTTTCCAAGCAAACCTGTCATGCCTCTCAGCAGCCAAGATTCCTCCCCTCTAAATGGAGCTCCAAGTGTCAGCGGGGCTCAAAGTGGGGCCAAAGTCTAAGTTCGCAGGAAGATGAGGTCAGGATGGTGCTGTGCTCCTGGAGACTGAGATGGAGCAGCCATGTACCCTCACATCTTTACTTGAGTGACTGGAGAAGTCATTCATTTCACTGCTTTGTAAAGAAATATACTGGGTTCCAATGATAAGAAAAGATGGAGAAAGAACTTTTCTCAGGTGGGAGAAATTCCACTGATGACCCAGTGTTGACTTTTCTGCTGATCCTAGTTAAAATTTTCAGTGTATGTCTTAAATATCTGTTGGCCCAGTTCTGGATCCATTCATTTATTTCTCTGAAGTTATTGATGACTTAATAACTTGGTTATGAAAGGCCATCAATAAATGAGTAGAAATAAATGAGTTAGTCTAGTGTGTACCCAGCTTGTGCACTGGGGGTTGAAGATAAATGTGCCAAAGGAAGGCCAAGCTTTGCAGCCCTGTGGACAAGGAAGTTATCTGATGAGGCAGCACAGAGAGCAGGTCCCCGGGAGGGTCCAGATGGGCAGAGGACAGCAGGTGGCCTCAATCTATCTGGATTATTCTGAAGTAGAGATCAGCTCGAACCTCAAGGACAATGGATGTGAGCAGGGATCAGAAGAATCTGGAACTTGGTGGTATTTTCCTTTATCACCAATATTTCTTCTCTGTGAGGTTCCTTTAGTCCAGAGGGAGAGTGATGTGCATGGTGGGGCAAACAGAAATCTGGAAACTTCCTCCATTTAGTAATAATAGTACACTTCCCAACTCTGTTTTGTAGCTATAAATGGAAACTAGAGATACAAGTGTGTTGAATCTCAACTTTTATTTGCCTTGATGTTTCTAAGAAGCAGAAGTTTTGATATATGTGGGATTTCTGGCTCCTTTATTATCCTCTATTTCTGGAAACATTTAAAAATGACTGGGCCATTGGATATCTTTCTTTATTTCCCCTTAAATCAGAGATTGGGACCAGTGATTGGGAAAATGACTGGGCACCGTAGAAAGGGGCTGGTTTTCTTTTCAATGACCCACCTCATGCTTAGCAGACCCAAGAGAAGGAAAATTATAATGTTACTCTTTATTTTGGATTTATTTGAACCCCTGAGAGTAAACTAAGGGCTCTTGCCAGAAGTTTGTGAAAACCAGACACTGAAGCAAGAAGGGATGGTTTGTTGCATTAATTTTAATGAAAAGAACTAAGCAAATGTAAATACATTCCTCTGTCAGTATTCAAATAGGGGGCCCTTGCTGACTGAGCTGGATGAACCCTGCTCTAAGGTAATCACATGGGGTTTGCTCGTTACCTCAGGGGGTTACAAGGGATTATGGGTGAAAGGCAGGATTTTCCTTTATATTCCACCAGATTTCATATTTAATATTAATGTCGGTGAAAGCTGAGTCAAATGATAGCAAAGGCAAATGACAATCATAATAAACCTGCAGAGCTCCTTCTGGATTCCCAAGCACTTGGGTAGTATGTGTGATGTGGGAATGGAGTCCTTAGTACTTTCACTTTATCATCTCCGTCCAATGTGGAGTGTATTTGTATAATAATTTCAAGTTCATTGCCATAATTTTCTAATTACCATGGAGAGAACCAGATTCTGGGCCATTAAAGGGAAAAATTTCTGGATTCTGAAGAGGAACCATAGTATAATTGAAGGGCAAAGAGGAATTTCTTAAAAAGTCAAGTCATGGATTCTTAGTGTTCAACATAGAAAGCACTTTATACAAATATTTTAACCTTTCCTGTACCCAGATACATTCATAAATGTTCTCAAAAAGACAGAATCAGAAAATGCATGTGTAAGAAGGAGAACATAAAGGAGAC